CCCTCATTTGGTGCACATTTTTTTAAAAAAGAATGTATTTTTACTATTGATGTGATGGGGAATGTGATTGAAAAAGAAGGAAAAGTTATTGATGTGATAGAAAATATTATTTTATTAAAGAATGTGTGATTAAAAATGAGTAGAAGAATGAGAATGAAAAAAACAATGTGACTCAAACAGGGCCTTAGATTGTAATAAAAAATTTTAGCGATACCAAAGAAGAGCTTAAATTGAAAATTTAGCCCCTATTTGATAAGAATTAAAATCGATTTTTTAGTAGATTTTGATAGAAATTAATGAAATGTTTAGTCGAAAAGTTGTGAGACTCGTAAAATATATGATTGAAATCAATTATTGTTTTTTACTTAAATTAAAATTTAGATTTTAATTCTTACTAAATAGAGGCTTAGTAATTCGAATCATAAGATGAGAGCTAAGATGATTATTTCAGATTGATCAAAACAAGTAGATATAACAAATAAATCCATATTCGGTTTAACTAAAAAATTGATAAAATTATAAATCAAATTAAAAAAAAATTCCATATTAATAATTAAGCCCGTGTTTGATTTCACTAGAAACCATTAAAGTTAAGTGCCTGTCTGCTGCAGCTGAAGATTAGAATTTCAGTCGTTGCCAAGCAAAAAAATGACCGTTACAGTCAACATGTGGGGGCCACATTAGAGAGGATTAGTCAAAAATGGCTGCAGCGAAGTTGGGCAACGGTTGAAAAATCAATTGTAATTGGTTTGAGAATTTCAAACAGACAAGGCCTAAGTCAAAGTACAACAATTAAATTTTAAACATTTATTTCATGATATTCATAACTTTCCAACAATGTGAATATGTTTGTTTCCCATTTTTGCAGTAAGAATGCATTTTTGAAATAGTAAATTAATGGAGAATGTGTGGTAAAAAAAATTAAGTTTGCGTGCAATACTATTTTATTAAAAAATATGTGGTTGAAAAAAAGAAAAAAATATATATTTTAAAAAAATAGATATCAAATCAGACTTTATTTTATTCATTATTTAAAACCTCATTTTTTATATGTACCACGCAGGCTAAATAACAAAAAAAACACATCCCAATAACAACAATAAATTCAAACAAATAAAAGTGGGCAACATTAGTCAAACAAAATTCAAATTTCATGGCCACGTCACTCCACACTTATTGCTGTGTGTTTCTCTCCCATTATTGGGAGAAAAATAGAGTAATGAATAGTATTTTTTGGATAACGTATGGTTTAAATTTAAAGTAATTTTATTGATTTGTGTGTAGAATATTTTATTGAGTGAATGTGTGATGAATAGTCTTACTGTACCGAATAATTTTTTGAAATAATGGTAAACAAACGGATTTAGTGTCCTCGAGAAACTATCCCATTTCACTTTACTTAAAACAAACAAAAACTCTGAATTGCATTCACGTAACTCTCACACACACACACTATCGCATTTTTCTCTGCAACTCCTGGTTGCAGAAGGATTGTCAAGATTCATCTACTCACAAAAGCACCCATTAAAAGCTCTTTTCGTGGCAAAGTTCGAACGTTTATTTGAAGAAATCTTTGAATTATTATCTTGAATCAAGTAAAGATTGAATCTTTTTTCCTTCCAAGATTGAATTTTTCAATCAACCATGAAGAGTCCCTACATTATTACTTCAATAAAGTTTCTTTATATCCTCACACTCTCCATTTCTTCAACTTTCTCGTTGAATTCAGACGGCCTCTCGCTCTTGGCCCTCAAAGCAGCCATTTCAGAAGACCCATCAAAAGCTCTCATTGCTTGGTCCGACTCAGATTCAACTCCATGCAAGTGGGATGGGATCACCTGTGATCTCACTCACCAAAAGGTAACCTCCGTTTCTCTTTCCAACAAGAGTCTCTCAGGCTACATTCCCTCGGAGGTTGGCGCACTGTCTTTTCTCACTTCTCTTGACCTCTCATACAATTATTTCAGTGGACCCCTGCCACGCCATATTGCAACACTTCTGAACCTTGTTCATCTCGATCTATCTTCAAATAAGTTCAATGGCACACTCCCTGAGAGCCTAAGCAATTTATCCCAGTTGACAGGGACTTTAAATCTTTCTTACAATGAATTTTTCGGCGAAATTCCGGCGAGTTTTGGCAGGTTACCGGTTACGGTCAGCCTGGATCTCCAGCACAATAATCTCAGTGGAAAAATACCTGAGGTGGGGTCACTTATGAATCAGGGCCCCACTGCATTTTCTGGAAATCCTTATCTTTGTGGGTTTCCATTGAACAGCCAATGCACAATGCCAGAGGCTCAGAATCCAATAATTTTCGACAACCCCGTAAAGCCAGAGAATCAAGGAGTTTCTTCAAATGGGTTTGGGGAGAGTAAAAAGGTAAAAAGTGGGTCACTCACAGTTTCAGTGATTGCTGGCTTTTCTGTGGTGGCTGGGATAGTGTTTGTTTCAGTGTGGATGTCTAGGAGAAAATGGAAAATGGCAGAGAACAAACTGGGAAAGGAAAATGTGAGCAAAGAGGTGGGGGCAATGGGAAGTGAGGAGGAGGGGCAAAAAGGGAAATATGTTCTGGTGGATGAAGGGTTTGGTTTGGAATTAGAGGATTTGTTGAGGGCATCTGCTTATGTTGTTGGGAAAAGTAGGAGTGGGATAGTGTACAAGGTGGTGGTGGGTGGAGGTGTCAAGGGGGGAGGATCAGGTGTGGGGGGTTCAATGGTGGTTGCAGTGAGGCGTCTCAGCGAGGAAGACACCACGTGGAGGTTTAAGGAGTTCGAAACCGAGATGGAAGCCATATGTAGGGTTCAGCACTGTAGCATTGTAAGGTTGAGAGCTTATTACTATGCCAGTGATGAGAAGTTGCTGGTTTCTGATTTCATCTGCAATGGAAGCCTGTACGGTGCACTACATGGTAAGAATTACTCTTCTGTACTTGTTGATGATTTTGTTTATTTTCTATTGTTGTTTGCTTCATGGAGTAGACAGTAGTTGCAAATTAGACTTCAATTTAGCATGATCAATGTGTTAAAATGTTGCAACATGATTTTGATTTGGCAATTGGCATACTCAATGTGCTGTCACATTTGAGTTGACGATTCTTGATTGTTATTACTTAGGGAGAGTAAAAGATCCATTTCATGTTTAGGACATGCATATGATCAGAATCCGAAATGCTTAGACATACGAAGGAGTTCGCCGCCCAATAACTAATTTTGTTCCTAGGTAAGAATAACCAGTAGTGCTGAAGGATATGGTCTATCCTGCCAGAACCACACCTGTACCCAAGTCCATTCGCGATGTTATTTTAAATCCATAAGTGAGATATATGCGAAAAACATGCAGGATTATCATTAGGATCATCATACTTGCCTATCATCCATGAACTGATCGAACAAAGCAACCAAAGTTAGCTTTGCTATTATGTACTAAACAGAGGCAAAATCCTTAGTGCCTGTTGGGCGAGAGTAAAAAGTCCTAGCAAACCCTGTAGCTATTGAAAACTTACAAAGCTTTACAGTGAAGTTTAAAGTTTACAAGAATTGAGGTTTGATTCCTGATATTTGGTCCTTGATCCTTTCCTAGAAGATCATACATAGCATGCTAGTCAATCTTGTCTACTAGCCACAAAGAAATGAGAAACAAAAAAGAACTGTAAGGGTTCATTCCTTTTCAGAGATGGAAAGGGGAGGAAGGGATGAGGGTAGTGGTAGAAAACGGAATGAAACAAATGTATTATAAGGATGACAATGGTAAAACTTATAAACCTTTCTCCTTCCCTTTCCCTTCCACATAGTTAAATGCCAAATTAACATTTTCCTTCCCTTTCCTTTCCCTAAAATTGAACAGAGCCTAATAAGCATATACCAAAAACTATTCTGATTGCTCAAAGACTGTTATTGTCTGAAAAGGAAAAAAAGAAGATAGAATGCATGTATGGCTAAGCTTAGAAAAGGTACACTTACTGATAAACCACAGAGTAACAAATGCTGAGATACACAAAGATGTGGCTTTCACAAAAGAGACAATCATATATTTCTTGGCTTGTGCTGGCTATCAATCCATTGCGACTCTCCTTTTCTTTATTCCCTTTTTAGCCTAAGTACATGAAGCAGCTCGCTGCTATGATTTTTCAGTTTCTTGGTGGATTCCGTGCTATTCATTTTCTAGTACACCTGTCGTATTGGCCAAAACATAATCAGTAAAATGTTGCAGGAGGACCTGTCAATTCCTTGCCTCCGCTATCATGGGTGACAAGATTGAGGATTGCTCAAGAAACAGCACGTGGTCTACTCCACATTCACGAATGCAGCCCTAGAAAGTATATTCATGGCAACATTAAGTCATCAAAAATTCTTCTTGACAATGACCTAAAACCTTTTATCTCTGGGTTTGGCCTTAATCGCCTTGTGCCTGGTACCTCAAAACTCACAAATGCAGCTTTTGGAAATCAGAACATAAACCAAATTGTTGCAAGTCCTAAAAGTTCAACTTTGTCATCTATTATGTATATGGCACCCGAAGCTCGAGTTGCCGGCAGCAAACTTACGCAAAAATGTGATGTATATTCTTTTGGAATCGTGCTTTTGGAGATGCTGACTGGTCGACTACCAGATGGGGGGCCAGAAAGTGATGGCAAGACACTCGAGGGCCATGTCAGGAAGGTGTTCCGTGAAGAACGACCATTGTCTGAAATAATAGACCCTGCCATTTTGCACGAGGTTCGTGCAAAGAAACAAGTTGTTGCAGCATTTCATATTGCTTTAAACTGCACAGAACTGGATCCAGAGTTACGACCTAGGATGAGAACGGTTTCTAACAATCTTGATTGCATTAAGCTGTAGTCTATCAATGTTGGTAACTATTTTGTAAAGATGTTTTTATTTGGTAATGTCAAGTGTTGTACCTGATTTAGTCCCAAAATTTCGAAGGATGTTTTTCTTGAGAATGTCTTGAATTGAGCAGAAAGAGAGTCCTTGAGGCAATAGGTTTAAATCGGTGCCAGCCAGTTTGGGTAGATCCCTCCCAGACGACCCTTGCTCGGACAGGGCTGGATCTAGCAAATTTTATTTCGAATAAAATTAGTGAAGTTATTCCCAGGCTTCAGACTCTGGACTATGCAGTTGCAATGTTCAATGTGCCACCACTGTACTTTGCCTAATACATTAGAGACTCACCTGGCATGGTCCAGGTTGGCCACGGCCCCTAGTGCCAGGCAATACCATGGGCTGAGCTTTGTCGTGCTGTGCCTGGCTCCTGGTGAGTTTGTACCATTGGGTCCATTTTTCACCTCTACATGGAACACTTGCTCGGTATTGAAGAGACCTGTGCAGACAACAACGACCTGATCGATATGCAGTGATGGTGCTAAGCCGCAACCAGTTTTTTATTTTTCAGCTTAGAAGTTAGACCTAGTCTAGGGGTTAAGAAAAGCCAAAGACACAAGTTAGGAGCACAATTACAGAAATTGAAATAAGCAGGCTCAAAGGTGAACTAAACCAAGTTTACAGACTTTTGATGAGAACAGAATAATAAATTCTAAAATGTACAACTGTTCTGTCATTGAACGGAAAGGGACTTCATAATGCCGGCCTTGCTGAATTACCTAGTTTTAATATCACCACCAAATAGAAGAAGTCTGATTTAAGACAAAAACTAAATGATTATTTAGTCATTGTCTATTTAACTTATTTTATTAGGAAAAAGAAGAAAAATATACTCATAAGTGATTATTTAGTCATTGTCTGATTTAATTCAAATGTTATTAGTTTACCAGGTCATTCATCTCAACACCCAAAGAATGAACCTTCCAATAAATAAATCCTTCAAAACTTCATAGATTCATTATATAAACATCAAGAAAGCATATGTAATCATTCATAGCTTCAGCCATGGCAGAGTTCCAAGACTATGTCATTTACTTCCTCATTTGGCTTGTTTCTGCTATTCTGATACGAATATTTATCAGAAAACGAACCACATCAGGCCTTCCTCCAAGCCCTCTAGCCTTACCAATTATTGGTCATCTCCACCTCCTCGCCCCAATACCTCACCAAGCTCTAGCCAAGCTGTCTCAACGTTATGGACCTTTGATTCACATATTTCTTGGTTCAGTCCCTTGTGTAGTTGCTTCCTCACCTGAAATGGCTAAAGATTTCTTGAAAGCATACGAAAGTTCCTATTCCAATCGACCTCATAGTTTTGCTACTGATTACCTAACTTATGGTTCTCAAGACTTCTCATTTGCACCTTATGGACCTTATTGGAAGTTCATGAAGAAACTATGCATGTCTGAACTTCTTGGTGATCAAACACTAGAACTGCTACTTCCAGTTAGACGATCTGAAATGAGACGTTTTATAGAATTTTTATCACGAAAAGCTAGTGCAGGCAAGTCAACTGATATTGGTGGAGAGCTTATTAGACTGACAAATAATGTAATATCAAGAATGATTATGAGTGAAAGGTGTTCAGAAGATGAAGATGAAGCTGGAGATGTCAGGAAATTGGTTCAAGAAATTGCTGAGCTTACCGGGAGGTTTAATCTGATGGATTTTATTTGGTATTGTAAAAATTTGGATTTGCAGGGATTCGGAAAGAGGCTTAAGGAGGTTCGTGACAGATTTGATGTGATGATGGAGAGGGTCACTGATGAACATCAAAATCTAGGCCGGAAATTGAAGCTAGAAAACGAGGAAGGAGAAGGCGTAAAAGATTTGCTCGACATTTTACTTGATATATCAGCAAATGAGAGCTCAGAGACGAGTTTGACAAGAGAGAACATTAAAGCTTTTATCCTGGTAAGTAACCTGCATTACCTTTTTTCGTATCAAATGTTCATCACATGAAAAAGGCAACATTCTTGATTTAGCAGATAGAAGTACAAAAATTAATCAAAGTATTAACCGAGTTTAATCGACAACAAAACAAATACTTCGCATGATCACACTCATAATCTTTATAATTTAAGTGTAGGGTACGATAATACATAATCTATTCAAGGATTAAAGGCAGATATACGAGCTATTGTTCTAGTAAAACCACACTTTAAAGTCTAAATCATCCTACAGCTTGAAGTTCAGAAGGATGTATCTTCTTTCCTTGTCATGCTCAATGTTACAGCTAAATTCATTTCTATCGTCTCTTCCTTCTCTTCTGGTAATACCTGCAACACTGATGTGGGGTATTTCTTCGCGCCCCTCTGTTAGCTTTGTGAAGAGAAAACAATATATATGAGTATGAAAACTTCATTAAATTGTGCCTCAAGTGTCACTGGTTAAATCTCTACGAACCAGTCGACGCAGTCTGATAAAAATTCTGTCATTGGAATTTTACAGGACATATTTGCTGCAGGAACTGATACATCAGCAATCACAACAGAATGGGCTCTGGCAGAACTAATCAACCATCCAAACATATTGCATAAAGCCCAGCAAGAAATTGATTCTGTTGTTGGAAAAAACAGACTTATAGAAGAATCAGACATCCCAAAACTTCCATACCTTCAAGCCATTGTTAAAGAAACGTTAAGGCTTCATCCAACAGGACCATTAATTGTCCGAGAGTCAACTGAAGATTGCACAATTGCAGGTATTAAGAACAAGAATCACGTATTCTAAATTGGTAGATTAAGATTCATACCTGCGGAATACATTTTTATTTATGAATATTACCGGCTAGATCTTCCATTCCTTGCTCCTCAAAATAATCAGTTGTCAATGGGACAAGCCAAAACGATCTGGAGAGGAGAGGGGACCTAGCCATTATATAGGAAATTATAAAACCGGTCCATTACCGACTCTAACCGTAATTAGGGTTTACATAATTTCGACCCACATACTTAAAATTATCACATTATAATAATATAGTCCGTAAGGTGTACAACTACCCAAGTGATCACTAACATATTGAGCATAATCATAATATTATTGCAAATCATACATTTAACATGTAAAATTCGCAATCAAATGAAAGCCCACATAATAGAATTATTCTAACATTTAAATCTTGTCTTCAGCACACCCTTCAGACTGGTGTCACTTTTTGATCAAAATCTAAAACGCGAACAATTTTCTAAATGGGTAGTTGCCAACTTGAACATGGGTCTTTTGTCCAGTTGAGTAACAATTTTTTAATCTCATCTTCAACACAGGTTACCACATTCCAGCGAAAATGAGACTTTTTTGTCAATGTTTGGGCCATTGGTAGGGATCTTAAACACTGGGAAAATCCACTGGAGTTCCGGCCAGAAAGGTTCTTGAACGAGGATGGTAATGTGAAAGCACAGTTAGATGTAAGAGGACAACATTATCATTTGTTGCCATTTGGGAGTGGTCGAAGAGGATGTCCCGGAACTTCTTTGGCTTTGCTGGTTGTTCAGACAACCTTAGCAGCCATGATTCAGTGCTTTGAGTGGAAAGTTGAAGGGAATGGGACTGTGGATATGGAAGAAGGACCTGGTATAACACTTCCAAAGGCACATCCTTTGATTTGTTTCCCTGTGGCTAGATGTAATCCAATGCCATCTATGTAATACTACATCTTTAATCTTTGATTGAACATTTGAAAAAGGATAAAATCTACTTACAAAATAAACGTTATTATGTGTTCACAATAATTCTACGTATAATATACATATTTCTACGATTGTATCTACTATTCAACATGAGAAATATGTGTACATTACGTGTTATCAAATAATTCAAACAGGTACGATTGCTGGCATGGAAAAGATATATGTGGGGAGGGTACACATGCCTAAATACTTAACTGAGGAAATCACACCTAATTGAATTTTGTTAGTCAAATCAAGAATAGATCACCAATAACACCTTATTTTGACCAAACATTAAAAACAAAAAAATAAATAAAATCCATGCCTTTAGGATTATTTCAGTTCCCATGTGAGTACTTTATTCTAGAGAAAATTGCAGCAGTGGTCCCTAACCATTTCATTTTTTTAGATTTTACCATAATCTTCATTTTATGTCAGCAAAGGACCCTAATCTTTCATAAATATGCAGTTGGAGTTCAAATGGATGAAAAATATCAATTTAACCGTTAGTTGACCAAGAAAGTTAAAATTTGATTAATTTGACCAAATTAAAAGGGACAAAATGCTACTTTGCATTTTCCTCATATTAAATAAGTTAAAAAATTAAATTAAAACCCCCTCTCCCCGTCCAAAAAATATATATATATAACCCCACTCCACTCCCCCAAATTAAAATCTGATGAGGTCTCTTCTTCTCTAGTGAGACCTACTGGAAATCGCAGCCACTGCCACCACAATTCCCACTCACCGCCACCCACGCCCACCACTATCAATATGAAATCAGAAATCAAATTCATCTCTATCAAACCCAGAAATAAAATCCCACCCACCCAAAGATCGGGATTTGAAATCCAAAAGGCTGAATCGATTGTTTGTCCCCCTATTTTGTTGAAATACCATCATCAGACGTCCACCTAGATTGTGGGAGTCGACTGGTGATAGTCTGCAACGGTGTGTGTGATCGGAGGATGAGTTGTCAACAATTTTTGAGTTCACGATTTGGGATTTTGGGTGGTTATTTCAGTGACATCTTGTGGAGTTAGGGCGGTAGTTGGGTGGGATGTGTAGAGGAGAATGATGGCTTTCTGATGATGTGTAGATCTGACAGTTTGGGTGGTGGTGTCAGTGATGGAGAGAGTGATTTTTATAGATTCGTTGTTATTAATTTTTTATTTGGGTTTCATTTGGCAGTAGAGAAGATGGTTGTGGATTTGGTGGCGACGATTTGGTTTTGGGCGAGGTTTTGGGGTGGGCATGAAAGGGTGTTGGGGAAGAATATAATCGGCGGTGGTGCTGGCCAACGTTGGTGATTGATTTTCAGTTATGGAGGATAGGTTGGGGGTGAAGAAGAAAACTATTTTTTCCTTTGGTTATTTATATATTTATTTATTTGATGTGATAATTTTAAACTTACTATTTTGCCCTTTTTAATTTGGTCAAAATTAATCAAAATTTGACTTTCTTGGTCAAATAACGGTCTTTACATACATTGGGACTCCAACTGCATATTTATGAAATGTTAGGAACATTCGTTTGCACAAAATAAAGATTAGGGTAAAGTCTACAAAAATTGAAAATGTTACGGACCTCTGCTACAATTTTCCCTTTATTCTATTAGGCATTTTATAAATAAATATTTAACATCAATTTAAGAGCTTGTTTGGGAGAGATTTTTGGGGGAATAATTGATTTTGAATAGTGATATGATGGGAAATGTATGGTTGAAAAAGAAGAAAAAATTATTGATATGATGGAAAATATTATTTTATTCAAAAATGTGTGGTTGAAAATGAGAATTGATTTACTGTAGAAAAATCTAATCCCTCCCAAACAGGGCCTAAATATCTTATTTCCTTATCAAAGCTGCAGTTCGTACCGAAAGATAAAAAATACACTACAAACTTAATAATGGGGTATACATTGAGAATAGAGTTCCAAATTTAACCACTCTTCGAAGATTAGCACAGTTTAGATATCAAGATGTATGAATAAAACTAATAGTCCTCGGTGCAAATAGAGACCCGATGGACACGTGGGTCAATATCTTGGTACATTTCTAATTTCATGTTGCTCGTATCGTCCAGTATATTTTTAAATATATATATTTTCTAGACTAAGGAATGTACTCATTTTGATTAAGATAAGGTTGAGGTCTTACTCCGGTGTCATATAAGTTAAATTTAAGATCACAATGGAGAACAAGTCAACCAAGTATTTCCACTTCATGAACTATTTGGGGGAGTTGAATTGTATAAAAAGGAACCATGCAATTGATATTGATAGAACATAAGTTTTTAAAAAGCCTAAAACAATTTGAGACTAAAAAGCTATTTTTAAAAGTGTGCGAATAATTTTTTGAAAGCGTTTTTTTTATTTGAAACACTTTTAGAAGATGTTGATCTATCGTGATTGAAGCGTAAGTAGAAATTATTTCAAACGAGTCGAGTTATTGATTACTATAACCATTTCTAGGTGTCAAAACGTGTCACGCAACCGTCCCGACGAACTTACATGCCGAAGCTAATTGCAAATCAAAAGGGAATGAAAGTGTCAATTCTCCTAACAATTGTCCTCTTCAAAGTGTGCATTAATTTTATGACTAAACATCTTAGCATTAGTCAAATGTTGGACATTAAATTGCGGCACGTAATCTCCAAGAAAATCTTCTTCATACAACTTAACATCTATATATAAATACACATATAGCTGACTCTACAACCAAAATCTGGATCAATTTTGGGCCATTTTCAGAAAATGAAGAACTCAAATTTTGTCATTCTTTCTTTTTATTGTCTCATACTTCTGTCTAAGCCATTTTTCTCTCTCTCAGCCACAGAAAGGTGCAATCCAGATGACAAAAAAGTCCTCTTACAAATCAAACAAGCCCTAAACAACCCTTATCAATTGGCCTCATGGAATCCCAACACAGATTGTTGTGATTGGTACGTTGTTGATTGTGACCCCAATAACAACCGGATTGTTACATTCAATCTCTTCTCCGCCAACATATCTGGCCAAATTCCTGCTGCCATCGGAGACCTCCCTTATCTCGAAACTTTGGTATTCCGAAAACTTACCAACGTAACCGGCCAAATTCCGTCAGCTGTCGCTAATCTAACCAATCTCAAATTGCTTAGACTTAGTTATACGAACCTATCCGGTCCGGTCCCTACATTCTTTACTCAACTCAAGAACTTAACCTTTCTAGACTTATCATTCAATGACCTAACCGGTTCAATCCCGGTTGAACTGTCCCTACTCCAAAACCTCGACGCCCTTCACTTAGACCGGAACAGACTCACTGGAACCATCCCAGAATCCTTCGGAAATCTCACTGGAAAAGTACCTGATCTCTATCTCTCCCACAACAACCTCACAGGTTCAGTCCCAAAATCTTTAGGTGACTTGAACTTCACTGTGCTCGACTTTTCGCAAAATAATCTTATAGGTGACATCTCATTCTTGTTTGGCAGAAACAAGACTATACAAATAGTAAATTTCTCGAGGAACATGTTCGAGTTCAATCTGTCGAATGTGCAGTTTCCCGACAGCTTAACATCATTGGATTTGAATCACAATATGATTAGTGGGAGTCTGCCACAGGATCTGACAAAATTGAATTTGCAGTTCTTGAATGTTAGTTATAACAGGTTATGTGGTCAGATTCCTGCTGGTGGGAAATTGCAAAGCTTTGATGTTAGTTCTTATTTCCACAACAAATGCCTGTGTGGAGCTCCATTGCCTGCCTGCAATTAAATGATTTCTACAACTAGATGTTATGTAATAAAATTCTATGTTATACTTTCTACTGCAGTGTGATGAATAAGAATAATATTATACTAGCCACTTGTTTGAAATGCCCAATCAACTTTTTGCTTCTATTTGGAATTAGTTTGAGTTATGGCTAGGGGTGCCAACCATGCGTCTTAGACTATAGCACAACTCGAAACCGGGGTCTACACCTCTACGATCATGCAGTTATACTCGATTCGGTCGGGCGCTTTAGAGTAGCACGACTCGAAACCAGGGTCTACACCTCTACGATCATACATTTATAATCAATTCAGTAATAAGTAGAATACGCATTTTCATTTCACAAGTTGTTGGCTTTAGAATGATATATTGATATGTCCAAGAAAGAAGAAAATATTATCCCCTATTTGCAGTTGTATTCCATTATCCATTTTAGTCAACATCTTAACCTTGTGGGATCCAGACTCCGATTGTTGCCATTGGTAAGCGGTGGATCGTGAACCTGAAACCAATAGAGTCGATGATCTTCATCTCATCTCGACTAATCTTTCCGGTCAAATCCTGGAAAAAAATTACCGAATATGTTCAACAATGTGTACCAATCATGCACTCTAAGAATATTTAAAATCGACCCTTACTTCATCCCGCCAACAGCAGAACAGGTCAACGTAAAACCTTGAGCAATTATCCAAATAGCGAGGATCATTTTCATTAGCAATTTGGCAATGGTGCTCCACACAAGCATCTATTGTGAAGATACTGTTATATATTTATACAATAAATATAATATGTGAAAAAAATAATTAATTTAGGTCAAGTGCCCAATTGGTGAAAAGTGTGAAATTTGTGTGGAACGTCGAGAGTTCGAGTCACATCTCACGCATTATATTAAAAGTTTTTTATTGGACCATTGGGCTTAATTGATTCTAATAATAAATTATTATTTTTTAATCATTTTCGAAATTATTTAATGGGTCAACTAGCCAGTAAAATATGACAGTTTTTAACTGTCCTGTATTAACAACATATTACCACTAGCCATAAAAATTATAAATAATACTGGATCATGGTAAAGACATTTACATCATTTTTCTGCCTATATAAATACACATCTGGACATTAGAAAATTATCATAAATACGAAATTGTAGGAGTGAACACAATTCGGTTTGGACAGTTTGTGCCATATTTTCAACTCAAATCATTTCATGTGGTTTGAATTTTTTTCAAACCAAATCAAACCATTTTATTTTTCGAACCAAACCATAATTTGCGGGTTGGTTCGGTTTTAATCCGCGGTTTACCTATCAACATTATAATAATATATTTAAAATAAGTTAACATATAAGTTTAAACGGGAATTAATAATATTAAATATTAAATTACATTCATCTTTCCCACGAAACTCGTGAATAAATTATTTNTTTTTTAATCATACGGGGTCCACCACATGTGAGAGGGTGGACACCCTTATGTACAAAAAATTATGTACAAGTAGCGTAGTCCTAAGTTTAAACGGGAATTAATAATGTTAAATATTAAATTACATTCATCTTTCCCACGAAACTCATGAATAAATTATTTCAAAATTAGTTGCTAAATGATGTTAATAGAACGAATATATCTTCTTCCTTTTTATTTACCTTTTGTTGTTTGTCTTTCATATTATCATATAGTGATTGGTAAAGATAGAGTCACATTCTGCTATAATAGTTTGGTTAAAACTCCTTTCATCCTACTAGTGAGATGGAAAACAAGGACTGAACATGATATGTTTAAATGTACAAAGAGTGATAGAGTTTAGATTTATTGAAAATTGACAAATTTTATTCTCTAACGACTTTACGAAAGTAGAATGTAGAAGTACTAGTTAGAGAATTTTAACATTTTCACACAATCAATACGCTTTATCTTTTTTTCTTTCTAAACGACAAACAAGTTCATTAATCACCTAAGCACACAAATAGTCAGTTTTTTAATCCAAATCACAATTCACAAGTGTATAAAAAGTTAAAAAAAAAAACAAATAAAAGAAAGAATAATAAAAAAAATGACTTGAATGAGAATCTAAGACTTATCAAGAGAGGAGAGAAATTGTGATTCTGGTAGAAATTAGAATATTAACAAAGCAAAATGCGACTGATGATTTGCGATTGAGAATCGCATTTTGTTTAGTAGTGGCAGACAAGTGTCAAATGTCTGAAAAATGAGAGTTTATGTAGCCTCTAAAGTTGTGGGCATGATTTGATATCGTAGTTTTGTTATATTATGATTTGGATTGTTGAAAATAAATGCTTTTTTTCATATGATTTGTGATTAATTTTAGTTTAGATTAGATATCGGGTCACGACGTGTGTTGTGGACTTATAAAAATGTCAGCCAATAATGATGAACTTAATTTACTTTATATGATTATTTTAATAGGTTGGTTCTAATTTGTATCGCTAAATTGATATTTTTTCTAAAAAGTAAAAAACTTTAAAATTTGTAAGTTAATAAAATTAATTTTTTAATTAAAAAATTAAAAAACGGGTTGGTTCGGTCTTATGCGGTTTTTGAAAATTGAAACCTAAATCAAACCATTTTGAAACGGTTCGGTTCTTTTTGAAGGAAAAAAACCGCGGGTCCACGTGGACCCAAACCAACGGTTTCAAACAAATGATTTCGATTCGGTTTGCGGTTTCAAGATTTTTTTGTGCAGTCCTATGAGATTGTATCTTCCTATTTAGTAAAATATTATACTCAATTTTACACATATTTTTTCGAGTACACTTGAGAGTTCTGAAAACCATTTGTAATTGCTGCACAATTGGTTTATTTAATCGTTGTATTTTAGAGGTGATTGTCTATAGAAGTCGTAGCAGTTATCGACGGACAATTTCGCTTTAGGACATCGTACAGTCACGAGACTCCATCAGTTGATAAATTTTTATTTTTACACTTTACTGT